AAGTTTTCGAAAGCTAAAGACGTCTGCCTCCAGGTTCAGTGGCAGCCGATCGCCGCGAGACGTCTCAGTTATTCATTCGGGCTTGAACCGGGGTCGACCCAGTTCGCTTTCGACGAACCTCGGCCACCGAGCCTCGATGATGTTGCCGGGACCCGGAACCCCGCCCTACGGAAGATTATGACGATCGGGACCGAGGGTTCTTAACCCTTCGGCCGGCAAAGTGCAAAGCATTCAGCACTGCTGAAAGGCCACCTCGGCCCACCTATCAAACGGTGATACACCCAGCCGCCAAGCGCGTTTTCGACCCGCGTACAAAGCGCTGATGCAGAATGATGAGTGGGATGCAGCTGTTCAAGCCCATCCCCAAAGAAAAAAGGCCGACTGGCCTGCGCTTGCGCAGGAACTTCAATACCCAGTCAACTCGGTTTCGACTAGTTAAGTTGCCGAGGATTCAGTTTCGCTACTGTTGTCGCTGGGGTTCGAGAACGAGACGTACCCATCGACGATGTCGCTCCAGGATTGGAGTCCACATGAAGCCGGAGCTGCTCTCCAGAAATGGAAGAAGAAGCTTCGGAAGGCGTTTGGCGCCGTTGGCATCAATGCCGGAAAGCAGCCTGTGAGTCGACCGATGATTCAAGATGAAGTTCCGTCTAAGATTCCACTGCCGCCGACGCCCCAACGACTCGTTCGTACTCCTCCGACCAAGCGTGGAGCTGAGCGTGGTGCCTTTGGCACTACCGAAGCTTCACCGTACTTTCAAGACTCGCACATGGTTACGCCACGTTCGGAGAGCCGTATGCAACGTATTTACGCAAGTAACGAGGGTTCGTTCGGTCGCCGAGGCGGTGCGCGAGCTCCCAAAGGTGGTGCCGGACGTCGTCAAGTCGACAGCGATGGTTCGTCCAGTGACGATAACATTTTGGTGCGTACATTCGACGAGGAAGATCCTCAACTCGAGTTGATGCGTCAGATGAATGAGCTAGCGACGCTGAACGACGTGGACCCAACACCGAGGATTGAAATGGCTTCGCACCGACCGCTGGATCGCATCACGCCGTTCTCAGGCTCTCGCAACAAAAGCGAGAACTGTATGCAGTGGCTCCGTGGGTTCGTCTATGAAATGACTGGAACCCACACAGATGCCGATAAATGGTGCATTCCATTTGAGCTAAGTCTCCGAGACGGAGCCATTAATTGGTTCCGTCAACTTCCGAAGAAGACGAAGCGCAAGTGGAAGCTGCTGAGCGATGCGTTCATCCGCTACTACTGCTCGCAGTTCACGAGCACTGAAATAGGAGCAACGCCGTGTTGCCCCTACGAGATTTCGGTAGTGGGATCACAAAATCCATCGAGACGATCTGGAAAGGTCGTTCGGCTAGCACGTTACCAGGTGAGTATCCACGAAGCTGTGGTCACGCAGACGGCACTGTCGCGTTACTACTCCGCCGAGCGCGAACGAAATGAACATCTGTGCGACTACATAAACAGGCTGAATGGCTACGCTCGGACCGCTCGTCTACACTTTGAGAAGAGTGGTCGCGACGCGAAAGAGCACGTACAGCAATTCCTGGCAACATGCGACGATGACAAGCTAGCGGAGAGTCTCTACCCCGCTCGAGTCGCCGACATTCACGAGCTCGAAGAGATCATCGAAGATGTTCTCAAGGGCAAGGAGAGAATGGCCAAGCGTGACAGTGAGTACCGATACTCCAAGAGTCGTGATACGCGACGCGACGATGGGTACGCCCGCAACAACCGGCGTGATGACCGCCGCCGCGATGACAGCCGCAACAAACCAAGAGTGACACTCATTGAAGCCACGGTGGACGACCTACTAGCTGAATTAGAAGGTCGTGAAGCTGCTCAGGGAGGCACCGAGTATTCAAACGAAGATCCGAACGCTTACGACGATGTCCAAGATGAGTACAACGACTTTCAGCCTGATAATACGGACGGTGATTTCTCATTGGACGAAAACGACCGATACCTCGCCGCGGCTAACGAAAATGAGCGCCGTGCAGCTGCTGAAGGCACCTACGCACGTTCAGACAACCGTCAACCACGTGGAAACATGCCTGATCGCGATAATGGCTTCAATCA